ACTATTGTCATTATTTAATTATTTCATAATATTAAACACTGCTATAATTCTTCCACGACACGATTTATTATTAAACCTTTCAATATCCAGAAAAAGCATTATTCCCTCAACAAATCTGCATAATATCTTACAAAATCGTTGTCAAAATAAAGAATGGGAATATTTGTCCTCTGCCCTCTGATTTTACTTGCAAGATTCTTCAATGAATCTACAAAAGAAGGTATTTATCTTGAAAAAAAAAGTCAAAAGTAGACGAAGTGGCACCCGTCATAACCTGAAATTAACCAAATAAATTAATTAATAAATATAAATTGGGAAAAAGCTGTTGAAACAAGGCCACGTTGGCCTGTTCGAACAGGGTGCGCCACATTTGTGCCCTGGACGGACAGGGCCGACCGCACCTGTCCATCTAGCAAAGCCCTATAAATTGAGATCTAAGTTCAGTCAAGCATCAAAATGAACTTACTTGGATCAACGGTAACAAGCATGGCCGTTCCTCCAAATTCACACGTGCCTCCAGCCACCTTAGTTCTCTGCCAATAGCTGTTGAAGGCGTACGATGCATGTGCAAATAGAGTGTTGGGCTGAAAACACGACCCACTGGGTTGAATTTGATCGCAATCCGCTCCAGAGCCGCAGGCATAGTTCATTGCTTCTTGGATGATCGGGTCGGGCACCGATGGCTTTGCCACACACCAAAGGCTCGTGCCAGAGGCAGTGTGAGGTGGCGGTGGCACCGCGGGTGGTGGATAAACGATAGGGGGCAAGAAAGAGTGTGGGCTCGGAACGTATCCCCCAGAAGGCGATGGGACGTTAACGGGCGGGTTGGGGGTAAAGTAAGGTGGGCTAAGCCCGGGCTGAGTTGGCGTCGGAACATTATAAGGTGGACTAAGCCCGGGTTGAGTTGGCGTCGGAACATTGTAAGGTGGACTAAGCCCGGGCTGAGTTGGCGTCGGAACATTGTAAGGTGGACTTGGAAGAGACCCTTCAGGTGGACTCGGGCCTGGCAATGTGGGCCCAGAAGACGCTGGAGGAGGTAATGGGGTGTAGCCACCAGTTGGGCTTGGGATGGTAGAAGGCGCCTGTGGGGTGGATGGGGGATATAAACAATATGGAGGGCTACCATCAGGCAAGGGAATGGGAGCAAGGGAGTCATATGGTGGCATAGAGGTTGGTGAACTAATATAAGAATCATTATTCGATGCATCCAATGGCATAACAAGTTGCTTAAAAATGGGTTCAAAAAATGAGTTTCCTTTTCCCGTGTCAAACCGCTTCAAATCGTGCATTTTTCTAGTAAATTTGATGCTCGAACTTCTTGAATGTTTTTGAGTTGTAAATGAATGAACTGATTTTCTCGCATCTGATCAGTGTCAAACGAAGTATTACATAAAGCTCTAACTACGTTCGATACACCGTATTAGACAATACTATAAAAGAAACGAAACAAAGAAACATATGATCTTACCACAATGTACAAGAGATATGGCTGCTAAACAAACATAGAGACCTAAAATGTAGAATCTCTGACGAGCTCGGTTTTTCTCCATGTCTTACTTTCTACGAAGACTTCAAACTAGAGCTAGTTTGCTCCCACTCCACAGATACAACTCTCAGAATCTATGGGTTTATATAGAATATTGAAAACAGAGAAGGAATTGGGCATAAAGATGATTCTTTAGAAGCAGGTAGCAGCTCACTTTATACTGACACAGATTGCTCGGATAATGTGTACATGAAGAAATGAAAAGGAGTGAAAAAAGTATGAATAATTGCATATTTTAGGTTAAGGGCACACACAGTTGAAGGGTTGTTTTTGGGTACGTAGAAGTTGGCATATATGCTTGCTTGATAGTAGGAAATACCCAAAAGTTTGAGTTTTTGGGCCTTTTCTTTTGCTTGCTTTCTACTCAAAGCCCTTCTGACCATCATCCACCGCCTCCCATATTCATCAGGATTCAGGTGGATGCTTTAAACCTAATCTGCTTAATTTTTGGAATAATCTGCTTATGATACTTAAACATAAATCTTCTTATCTTTTAGCCTCCTGATTTACATATTGATTAGATACAGTTCACTTCGGAAGCTGAAGTACTTATGAAGAAGTGGTTCGACAAAGTTTTCGATAAAAGTTAACAAAATTTGTATTTGAAGAATTGATAAAAGTTATAAATCTTATGAAATATATGAATTAAATATTTGTTTTTAACCTCGACTTTTTAAATTTTTCCAAATAACCACTCGATGTTCAAAATCCAAGTTGAATAACTCCTAAATGATTTTAGCCGGGATCTGTATTTTACACTTTCGGCTTGGTTAACCCAAGTGATAAACATTAATAATAACATTTTTTGACACGACTAAACAAGGGAAGATGTTAAAAATTGTTTATTATATTATTTATTAGTAAAATTATGGTAGAACATCATATATATACATATGATAGAACTGTTCATTCAAATAAAGATGCATGTTTTTTTGTCATATTTAATTTTTACTATATTTAGTATTTAGTTAAATATATTTGGTAGGCGTATAGGAAATAGTAAAAGGAAGAAGGCAGACATCCATTGCTTACAGAGTCGGCTTTCCCTTTTTATTCACATAAGATAAAATCAAGGGTATTTTCAATATATATATTTTCAATGCAAGCTGACAAGGACTCCGTCAAGACGACTTGGTTGACCCAAAAAAAAAATAGATATTATCTATAACTCTATCTCAATTCACACATTCATTTAGAGAGAGTGACTTAACAAAATTAATGTTTCTTTTTAAATTTAAATTTAGACATAATTTTGTATTATTTAAAGAAAATTAGAGCTACGTAGATAGCAACCCATAGAATACATTTGAGACCAATTTTGAGATGGACAATCTATTCATTAAACATCAAAGTCATTGATCTGAAAGTCTTTTAATGTATTAAAAATGTCCTTAGAATTAGTTTTTAATCGACCCTATGCAATTTTAATTATTATTTTTTATAATTTAATTGGCCAGTTGAAATCCGAGAGAAAAGTTTGAAAAAATAGAGAGGGAAAAATATAACAAAATTTAA